ACTGGGGTTACTACTAATGAGGGCAGGTCCTTTCAATTCACCACTAACGAAACGTTTTCCCAACCAGTCCTCAATGCTACCCAAGAAATAAGCTCTGATAACTCTATCCACTCATTTGCAAGTCCCAAATGAGTGGATAGAGTTATCAGAGCTTATTTCTTGGGTAGCATTGAGGACTGGGTTGGGAAAATGTTTCGTTAGTGGGATGAATTGTAAAGGACCTGCCGAGCATGGGCCAACAGGCCTGCTGCAGTGATCCTCCTTTCTTATGTTCATCAACCACTATCACAACTGTTTCACTCTACCACCACCATCTTTGTATTTTTTCTACAAACTTTTTCATAAATTATGTGTTTCTCACATTCTTTACCAAAGGGCTGGCACTAGAAGCTTTATTTGGAGCCATGGTAGCTTATTTAGCACTTGCAAGCACTAAAATCAATGGAATATTATGATATATTTCGTAGGAGCATGTGAGGGGACCGTCACTCACTGGTAAACAATGGCACACTGGCTGGGAAGGAAAGGCCGAGGCGGCTCAGAGCGTGAGTACCCATCCAAGACGAAGGACTATTAGGACTATTAACGAGTTACCGGACCATTTGCGAGCCAATATTTTGACGAAAAAACAGGACTATTTCCGAAATGGACGACTTTCAGGCCGGACGATTATTGAGGGACCACTGTATTATTATTATTATTATTATTATTATTATTGCTGCTGTTTTTGAAGCGATCATGAGGCATTGTAGGCTTATAATTTAATAATTGAATTATTGGTGTCAGTACAGTGAACCCCCGCTTAACGATCACCTCCCAGTGCGACCAATTATGTAAGTGTATTTATGTAAGTGCGTTTGTATGTGTATGTTTGGGGGTCTGAAATGGACTAATCTACTTCACAATATTTCTTATGGGAACAAATTCGGTCAGTACTGGCACCTGAACATACTTCTGGAATGAAAAATTATCGTTAACCGGGGGTCCACTGTATTTCTAACATTTCTTTTGTCTTTCTGACAGACTTAGCATTTGAAAATACCACTTACTCTGAAAAAGAGTAAGCATGCAATCCATTAGTGATAAAACTGTCTCATAAATCTCCCAAAGTCAAACAAAACAATAAATAATATTCCATAAAATGATCAAGCACTCAGTAGAGAATAATATAGTGGAAAAGTATTTGGAGTGAGAGTGGGGTTCTGTTACACAGAAACTGTACCTGGTGGAGCAAAACTAAGTTCAGATTTCAATTCAGTATCCCAAAATTAGTTAAAAATATACATTTTTAAAGACAAACTGAAACCTTTGTTACCTTTCATTCCATGTGTTCTGTATGGTGCTACTGGCTAAACATGTCTCTCATATATATCAGTATACCAAATCTCATGTATTTTTCAGGCTGGTAATCAGAGAGAGGCAGTGAAACTCATGACACAGGTGTGTGCAGAGTGGATGGAGTCAGGGCATGCTGAGGACTTGATCAGAGCTGCCAGACATTATGAACGAGCATCTCAGATAGTCATTAGCCAGCAGGTGTGTGTTACCAAATTAACACTTAAATTACACAATACAGGTAATACCTTTGTTATTTATTGATATAATAGGATTTTTCCTAACTGTATCTTTTATAACGTATTAAGTGCTGGACTACTCAATAGGCAGAGTAGTCCAGGGAGGTCCTCAAAGATTTGGAACTCTTCCTCTTCCCTTTCCCTGGTAGATTGACTTTTATATGGTTTATTAAAAACAAAATGAATGACTGAATAAAATAGTTGTTAATTACTCTAAGGAATTTTTCTGCTAAAAGTTACAAGATGTGATATAGGGCACAATGATGGGAGTTTGTTACACTGTGTATTAGTAGGTAAAAGGTTGATAGACTTGTAGATGGGCATTTATTTAGTGGTAGCTACAGAGGCAGTAGATGGTAGTGAAGAAGAATAACAATTGTAATACAAGACGAATGGTATCACTGGGTAAGAAAAAAATGAAAGTGAAGGAACCAAAGGAAAATACAGTTAGGGGAAGATACAAAGAACTGCTCAGAGTAGGGTAATGAGAAGCTCTAAGAAGTAGATTTAAAAATGTAGTGCCACAGTGTACTACAGAAATCTCTGGTTATAGGAGGGTGGGTGCAGGTAGGAAGAGTAATGATGCAATATAAGAATATAAATTTATTTTTCAATTATAAGTATTTGTGTTACATAAATTGATTAAAATTTGTATCATACGTGGAAAAGCTGATAGTTATGCAAAGGGTTTCAGGCAGATAGAAGCTGTAACTGTAAATTACTTTTTTTTTTTTTCAACAAGCTGGCCATATCCCACCGAGGCAGGGTGGCCCAAAAAGAAAAACAAAAGTTTCCCTTTTCAAATTTAGTAATTCATACAGGAGAAGGGGTTACTAGCCCCTTGCTCCTGGCATTTTAGTCGCCTCTTACAACACGCATGACTTACGGAGGAAGAATTCTGTTCCACTTCCCTGTGGAGATAAGAGGAAATAAACAAGAACAAGAACTAGAAAGAAAATAGAAGAAAACCCAGAGGGGTGTGTATATATATGCTTGTACATGTATGTGTAATGTGACCTAAGTGTAAGTAGAAGTAGCAAGACGTACCTGAAATCTTGTAAATTACTTATCATTGAATAATGTTAAATTATTTGAATGTTAAACATAACTTAGTTATTAGATGATAAGATTATCAAATGAAGTGCTCATTCTTAGGAACAGAACTCTGATTATGAAGATAAAAATGTTTTATGATGGGACAGTAACACTAAAAAGTAAACAGATTTAACTTAAAAACTTATGGGGTTAGAATTATAGTGGAGTGAAGAAGTTGATGAGTGTGAATGCTGGTTGGAAGTGGCACAGCCAGCAGGTTGCAGTAAATATATTTAACATTTATATATGACCTTCATTTAAATGCATAAAATTACTTAAAATTACATCAAGTTTGGGAAGTGTTTATTAACAATGTTTTGAAGCCTTTAGCAAATTGTGATCTCTTAGAAACTTCGAGTATTGGAGTCTATAATCTTAGGCCTTTTATTTGCATTGGCTTTTAATTCACGTGGAGTTGAACAAGTTCGATAGAAAAAAGTATTTATTTCTTGTATTGTGTCAGTACAGTATGTTGAAGTTCTTTAATTAACCTTTAACCCTTTGACTGTCGCAACCCCAAATCCTGAAGTGTCTCCTGGTGTGGAAAAATTTTTGGATTTTTTTTTTTTGTTATGAAATGATAGAGAATCTTTTCCCAATGGTAATGACACCAAAACTATGAAATTTGATTGAAAACTTACAGAATTATGTTCCTGCGAAGTTAGTGATCTTGGCGATATACGTATATGCATTGGCGATTTTGCCGACTTTGAGCCCTATTTTCGGCCAATTCTATTGTTCCAGTCGACCAAACTCATAGCTATTTCTTTAGAACTCCATTTTTTTCTATCACTTGAGTGCAAGGACCCGCCCATTTACCGATTTCAACTATCCAATAAAGTGATCAGAAATTGGCAGTTTGGTTAATTTCACACAAATTAAAAATGATGCCAGTTTCAAAATAGGGTCCAGAATGAACAATGCAGACATTCTTGGCACTAAAATAACATATCCTCTGTTTATCAGTCATGTCTCCAGGCCCCTCTGATATAACTCTTGCTTTCTATTTTGATTTTTATTCACACAAAAAATAGAAGATTTACTGTTATGCAGACTACTGCATTATTGTAAAAATGGTATAAATAATATCAGTGCACTAGTGAAAGAATATTAGACTCCCTAGTTGATGTATATTGGACATGTGGTGTGATTTGCTTACTCTTGACCATTGGTAAAAATCGAACATTTCCGCTACTTTGAGCTCAGTTTCAAGATCGTTTTCATTGTGAAACTTATCAAAATCATCTCTATTTTTGTAATATGTTTTCCATCCTCTATTTCTGTAATATGCTTTCCATTCTATCAAAAGAGACCATGAAAATGAGAATACAACCATAAATACTATAGGAAATACACCTCAAAGTTGGCTTTTTAATCCAAAAGCACGGCTGGAGATTTTTTCTCTCATTATGCACTGCATGCTGCAGGATTTTTTTTATTCTGTGTACACTGACCACACAGACCCATTCTCTCACATGTGGGCCTACCAGCTTTCTCCTGCTTGATTTGAAGCTGCTATGATTATTGAGTACATATTCGTCTGAAATACTGGCTTGTAAGACGTATATATATGGCCGAAACAGTCAGAGGGTTAAACTGTGTCTGACATACTAGTATGCATTTGACGACTATGTCTCCAACATACTAGTATGCAACTGATGACTGTCTCCAGTGTACAAGTACATAACAGATGACTGTGTCTCCAATGTACTAATACATTTGGTGACTGTCTCTCCAACATCCTAGTAGAAACCTGACAACTATACAGTAAGGCCCCGCTTTACGGCGTTTTGCTTTACGGCGTTCCGCTAATACGGTCATTTCAAATTATGACCAAAACTCGCTATATGGCTCCCCCCACCTGACTTTCTAATATGGTCACTGCGCCCCACTCGGTTTGTTTACATTCTCTGTGAGATCCGTAAGCACTAAGTCTCTCCATTATGTCCAGAAACTCCAAAATTTCAAGTGTTTTTAAAAGTTATTTCATATTTTATATATACTCTGATAATTATGTATACCTGTACCTAAATAAGCTTACATACTGTGCTGGCATGCAGGTACACATTAAAATCAGTAAGAGTCTCTTACATCTCGAGACGTCATATTAGTAATGATAATAATAATCACCGAGTCTCATTAAATGTCGTTTATTACGTTAATATACACATTTTTATTAATCCATCTATGATATTTTTTTCAAAATTATATAATAAACACGATGCATAACATAAAAATATGGTAAATACACCCCACAGTAGAATAAATAAACAAAAATATGAGATGTGGTAGCAGACAACTTGCACAAGTGACGCCATATTAGAAATAATAATAATAATCACCGAGTCTCATTAAATGTCATATATTACGTTAATATACACATTTTCATTAATCCATCCATGATATTTTTTTCAAAATTATATAATAAACACGATACATAACATAAAAAGATGGTAAATACACCCCACAACAGAATAAATACACATAAATATGAGATGTCGTAGCCAGATAACTTGTACAAGTGACGGCAAGAATAATGTTTTCTCTAGTCTAACATAAGAGAAAATGTGTTACTGGGGGTAACTGTAGAAAATTATTCCTTTCGTATGTATGTAAGTAAGTTTATTCAGGTATACACGAATACAGTTACATAGATTATCATACATAGCAGCATATGTGTAGATAACCTAGGATAACCCAAAAAAAGTCAGACAGAGTGACTTACTTCCATTGCCTTCACTTAGAGCATCATTTCTTCTAAAGATGGTGTTAAATGAGAATGGGAGTGTTCTTTATTTATTCTACTGTATCAATGTAGAGGCAACTTGTACACAATGTAACTTGTACACAAACCAGACGTGTACACTTTGTTTGTTTACAAAACTTATGTTCACCTGGTTTGTTTACTTAACTCTGTGCCTGTCCCCTCTCATGTACTCACTCTCTCTCTCTCTCATTTATTCGTTTTATCTCGTTTACTCACTCCTGACCCTACATTAAGACTACAAATATTTTAAGGTAAGTAATGAGTGAACTGTATATGCATTTTATCGCTCTGGGATGCTTAAATATCATAGAATATATGTGTGGGTGGAATGGCCTGGTATGGTAGCCCAGCTGACTACCATATATACCACACTTGATTTCTTACATAAATACTACTCATCTCACCCTAGATTAAGACTACAAATATTTTAAGGTAAGTAATGAGTAAACTGTGTATGCATTTTATCACTCTGGGATGCTTAAATGTAATAGAATATTATGTGTATGTGGGGTGGCTTGGTATGGTAGCCCAGCTGACTACCATACATACCACACTTGATTTCTTACAGTAAATACTACTTGTCTCATCCTAGATTAAGACTATAAATATTTTAAGGAAAATAATGAGTGCACTATGTGTGTATTGTAGTTTTTTATTGTTTTTTGATGCCTAGTTCTATTGCTAACTTAATATAGTTAGTGTAAACTTGTTATCTAGTATTTGTATGCATTTATAAGGGGGAAAAAAAGGGTGTTCCACTTTATGGCAATTTCCGCTTTACGGTGGTAGCCTGGAACCTAACCTGCCGTAAAAGTGGGACCCTACTGTATCTCCAACCTACTAGTACATAACTGTTGTCTGTATCTCTAATGTGCTATTACACACAGCTTTTTGTACCTTCAAATCTGCCACCTGCCATTATTTTTAACCTCATCACAACTCTGGGTTTTCTTTCATCTATTTGTACATTTGAAAAAATCTAAGGCCAAGAGGGTCCACACAGTGCATTGTGGCTAACTACTTGGGTGATTACAGTATGTCCACTGTAGCAGTATGCATGTGTCCCATAGCTTGATAGCTAGTGCACTCAGCTTATACGT